AAATTCAACAGCACATAAAAAGGATCATATAACAAGAACAAGTGAAATTTATCTCTGTGACATAAGGATGGTTCAGCACACATAATTAATAAATATGATATAGCACATTAACAGAATGAAGTAAAAATCATATGACCATCTCAACAGACACAGAAAAATCATTTGACAAAATTCAACACCTTTTCATGATAAAACTCTCAACAAATTAGATGTAGAAAATATGTCCCTCAACATAGTAAAGGACATATATGAGAAGCCCACATCTAATATCATATCCAGTGGTGAAAATCTGAAAGCTTTTCCTTTAAGATAAGGAACAAGATGAGGATGCCCACTCTTATCACTTCTATTCAATATAATACTGAAAGTCCTAGCCAGAACAACTAAGTAAGATAAAGAAATAAAAGGCACCCAAATAAAAAAGTTAGAATAAAATTGTCTATGTTTGCAGATGAAATGATCTTATATATAGAAAACTCCAAAGACTCCACCAAAAAACTGTTAGAACTAACAAATTAATTTAGTGAAGTTGCAGGATACAAAATCATCATACAAAAACCAGTCACATCTCTGTATGCTAATAACAAACTATGTGAAAGGGAAATTAAGAAAACAATCCCATTTGCAATAGCATCTAAAAGAAAAAAAAATACCTAGAATTAATTTAACTGAGGAGATGAAAGATCTTTACACTGAACTGAGGGTATTGGTGAAAGAAATTTAAGAAGACACAAATAAATGGGAACATATTCGATAGTTATGGATTGGAGGAATTAATAATGTTAAAATGTCCATACTATCAAAAGGGATTATAAATTTAATGGAATTTCTATTAAAATTCAAGTGGTATTGTCCATAAAAATAGAAAAACTATTGCAAATTCATGTAGAAACACAAAAGAGTCTGAATAACCAAAGCAAAATTGAGCAAGAAAAACAAAGCTGGAGGCATCACACTTCATGGTTTCAATTTCTGTTACAAAGCTATTATAATCAAAACAGTACGGTACTGGCATAAAGACAGACACATAGTTCAATGGAACAGAATAGAGAGTCCAGAACTCACACATATGAAGTCTACTAATCTTTTTTTAAGCATATAAATATTTATTACTACCATATTTTCACCATCAAAACTTGTGGTCCTAGTCTCTCCTTGCCTTTGTATCAAGCCAAAAGAGAGACACTGGCTAGTTTGACAACTTTAAAGCAGGCTCCAGGGATGTCACTAACAGCATGACCTTTGTGACCAAATCCAGCATACCAGAACTTCATCATATTCCTCAATAAAATTCAAACAACCATCATTGGGTACAAAGGCTGTGATTTGTTTTTGCTTTTCTTTATCAGCTGGACCCTGACACACTTCCTGATGGCAGAATTTGGCTGACTGGCTTCAACCCCTACTTCTTCCAGCACAATTCCTTTTGCATGGAAGCATTTCCAAAAGGGCTGGCCTTCAGCCCTTTGTACTGTTTATCATGCCACTTCTGAACTCATTGGTGGCTATGGTTCTTTCTGGTAATACAAAGCAATCTGCTAATCTTTGACAAGGGTGCTAAGAATACACAATGGGGAAAGACTAGTCTCTTTAATAAATTGTGCTTGGAAATCTGGATATCCACATGCAGAAGAATGAAAACATACCCTTACATTACATCATACACAAAATTCAAATCAAAATGGATCAAAGACTTAAACATATAATCTAAAACTGTAATATTCCTAGATGAAAACATAGGGAAAATTCTTCTTGGCATTAGTATTGGCAATAAAACAGCAACTCACAAAGTAGGACAAAAATATTTGCAAACCATATATCTGATAAGGCATTAATCTCAAAAATATATAAGGAATTTAAACAATTCAGTAGCAAAAAATACATAATAACCTAATTAAAAATGTACAAAGTACTTGAATGCTGTTCCAAGGAAGACATGCAAATGGCCAACAGGTATATGAAAAGGTGCTCAACATCACTAATCATCAAGGAAATGCAAATCAAAACTACAGTGAGATATCTCGTATTTGTTAGGATGGCTAATATCAAAAAGAGAAGAGATAAATGTTGGGGAAGGCATAGAAAAAAGGGAACTTTTGTGTGCTGTTGTTGGGGATGTAACTTGGTAGTGCCATTATGGAAAACAGTATGGAGGTTCCTCAAAAAATTAAAAATAGAACTACCACATGGCAAATCCACTTCTACATATATTTCCAAAGGAAAGGAAATTTGTGTTTCAAAGAGATATCTACACTCCTATGTTCATTGCAGCATTATTCACAGTCTTCAATATATGAAAACAACCTAGTGACCATGATGGAGGACTGGATAAAGAAATGTGATAAATACACACACACACACACACACACACACACACACACACACACACACACACACACACATGTATATAACAGGAAATCCTGCCATTTGCAACAACTTGGATGTACCTGTAGGACATTATGCTAAGTGAAATAAGCCAGACACAGACAAATACTAAGATGGTCTCATATATGGAATCTAAAAATGCTGAAATCATAGAAGCAAACAGTAGAAAGGTGATTGCCATGGGCTAGGTTTAGGGGAGGAATGAGGAGATGTTGGTGTAAGTGTACAAACTTAATGTTATAAGATGAGTAAGTTATGGGGATCTAATGTACAACATGATGACTATAGTTAATAATACTATATTGTATATTTGAAATTTGCTACGTGTAGATCTTAAGTGTTTTTATCACAAAAATAATGGCAATTACGGTGAGATATCATCTCATATACGTAAGAATGGCAATCAAGAAGACAAAAGATAAGTGTTGGCAAGAATGTGGGGGAAAGGGAATCCTTGTGCACTGTTAATAGGATTCTAAACTGGTTCAGCCACTATAGAGAACAGTATGGAGGTGCCCTATAAAATTAAAACCATAACTACCATATGACCCAGCAATTGCACTTCTGAATATATATCTAAAGAAAATGAAAACAGTTTACCAAAAAGCTTTATGCACTCCTATGTAATTGCAGCATTATTCACAATAGCCAAGATACGGAAACAACCTAAGTGCCTGTCAATGATGAATGTATTAATAAGAGGTGGTATATGTATATAACATTATTTGGCCATGAGGAAAAAGGAAATTCTTCCATTTGCAATAACATGGATTTTGAGGGCATTATGCTAAGTGTGATAAGTCAGACAGAGGAAAAACAAATAGTGTGTGATATCTCTTATATGTGAAATCTAAAAACACTGAAATTGTAAAAGCAGAGAATAAAATGGTGATTACCAGTGGCTTGGGGATAGGGGAATGAAGGAGATGTTGTTTAAAGGTACACACCTGCAACTAGCAGATAAATACATCCTGGAGACCTAACACAGTGATAGTATATAAACAGGAGACTTGCTAAGAGACTGGATCTTAATTGTTCCCAACACTTGAAGAAACTACAATTATTTGATGTGATAGATGTGTTAGCTCATGCTACAATGGCAATCATATTGCAATATAAATGTATTAAATAAATATGTTGTACACCTTAAATTTACACAGTGTTGTATGTGAAATTTATCTCAATTTAAAAAAATAATTGTCAAAAACATGGTAAATATGTGAGGTGATGTATGTGTTAATTTGGTTGAGGTAATGCTTTCACAATGTATGTATATATCAAATTATCACATTATGCATCTTACATACAATTTTCATTTGTCAACAATATCTTAATAAATCTGGAAAAATAATATTTAAGTATACATGTCAGAACCTTAGGGCTTAAACAATTAATTGGGGTATTTAAATAAATATTTCAACTGAAATGGGTTTGCATTTCATTACATCAGTAATTTAGTAATATCAACTATGGAGTTAATTTAATCTGAAGAGAAACAACAAAGCTCTCATCACTTCAGGAAATTTACTTCATATATAACCATGATCAAAGAACATGAATAAAGATCTTGTTGAAATTCTTACTCCCAATACAGAATGTGAATCAAACATAGGTCTCAGCAAAATCACAAATTTCTTCATGTCATAGACCTTTGAAAATCATTAAACAGTGAGCATCAAATCCATAAATGTCAAAAGCTTACTATATTTCTATTATTGTACTTGTGTCACTAAACACCTATTGAGAACGTGTCACTGAATACCTGATGAGAACATGAGCTTCTTGGGAACAGGCCTCCTGCTTTGTCATTCCTTTTATACCAAAGTCGACCTAACACAAAGCAACCATTCCAAAAACATTTGTTGAATTAAATTGCTTCCTAACTGGTTTCTGCTACCAGGCTATCCTCCTCTCCAAACTCTTGCCAGTTCTTGTACAAAAATACATCTCTGATAATGTCATTCTATTGTTCCAAAACCTTTAATAGATGTTCAGAATCTGCTTTACAAGATTATGTTCACACACCCTGACAGGGCATTATAAGGACCTTCACACCTCAGTCTATGTTCCCTCTCACTTCCAGTCTCTCTTATTCACACACCCTCTCATGCCATACTAGGTGCTCCTTGAACACTTTAGTTGTCATTACTGTATACCTTTGCAAAATGCTGTTCCCAAGTCTAAAAGGTCCTTCCCTTCTCATCTGCCTAGCAAACTTATTAAAGCTCAGCTTAAATTTCACTATCTTTGTAGTTTTTCCCTACCCCTCACAGAACTGTCTCCCCAACTGTTTTTCTGATCCAATATGCTTATTTATTCTGAAAATGGACTAAGCTAACTCAGGCAGAAGGGAAGAAGGGAAGAGGGGGCGCCCTGTCAATGGACTTACCCAAGCGGCGACTACGGCACTACGTGTTAAGCATATCGTCCAAGCAAGCAGCAGTGGGAGGATAGGGCTGGACGGCCTTTAAGTCTTGAGCTGCTAGGGCTCGCGTACTACGTGTATGTGTGCTTGTGGCAGAGGTGGCGGGGGTGGGGTGGGAAGGGTGACAGGATGGAGAGACAGAGAGAGAGAGACAGAGATCAGACAGGAGATGAGGGGGGACGCAGTGCAGTAAGGGCAGGTGGGCAGACCCAAATTTCTTGCGCTTTACAGTTTTACAGAGGTCCAAATCCTGCATCTAGCCCTGTAGCAAGCGGGTGGGAGAGGAGGAAAGGGGAGGGGCTGCACTCGATAGGTGCTGGCCCAGCCTCGACTGCCTGACGGATCACCTTCCGCTCCAACATGGCCAGTTCCCCCTCGCCATGACTCAAGCCTATTGTGCCAGGCAGGGCGCCCTCTGCCCCGCAGCCCTACAGGTGGTATTGGTTCCTTGAGACGGTTCCCGTCAGGCTAGGCAGTGGAGCGCCGCACAGCGCGCCTTCCCACCTCCCAGCTGCAGCCCCAGCAATTTCGACCCAGCGCCAGCAGGCCTGCTCGGTCGATCTTCGAGCCGAAGATGCGGCGAGGCTGGAAGATGGCTCTGTCCGGGGGCCTGCGGTGCTGCCGCCGTGTACTTTCCTGGGTGCCAGTGCTCGTAATCGTCCTCGTCGTGCTCTGGTCCTACTATGCCTACGTCTTTGAACTCTGCCTGGGTAAGTGGAGCTTGGCATTTGAGGTGGGGAAATTATGCTCCAGCATGATCACTTGCCCTACCCTTCACACTGGTGTCTCCGGTGTTCTTAGCCCTCACACTGCGGCTTTCCTTTACTCTCTGGAGAGCTACCCGTATCCAACCTCTCTGGCTTCCCGCAGTGTTTCTTGCACCCTCACACGAGAGTCCCACCATGACGCCATCGCTTCCCACGTACGGTTTCTTACATTATTTCCTGGCCCTAGCCACAAAAATTTCCTGGTTCTTCCCACTAGGGCCCCCTTTTCTCATACAGGACAGCCACTTGTGCCTTGTGCTCTCCTTGGGGCTCCCACCCTACCGAATTGAGGAAACAACATACCGTGTACCCTTAGACTGTTTGCTTACACTGGGAATCCCACCACTGCATCCAGCTAGGAGCCCCATATTTCCCCATTCTGTCCTACTAGGAATCCCAAAATATTTCCTATACTCTCTCACTAGCTCTCCTTTTTCCAGCACTGGAATTCATCCTTTTCCCATGATCCTCTCACACTGGCTGAAGTACTTCACATTTTTTCCCACTTGGGACCCCACAGTACACCTTGTTCTATCCCACTGGTTCTCCCACTTTCACAAAGAGGTAGACCCTCCATTCTCTTTACCTGTGGTTTCACCATTTTCTCATCTCCAATGGAATGGGAATCCTACAATACATCCCATCCTGTCTCCTCACACTAGAGCCCCTGATTTTATCACACTGGGGTTCTCCTTAGTTTCCTGCCTTTCTGTTTTGAGGGGCATTCACTACTTTCCATTTAGGGGTCCACATAATTTTCTGATACCCCATATTAGTCACCTTGCTCTTATTACACTATGGTGCTGCCTTGTCCACTGTCTTCTCACACTAAAGTATCCTCTTTACTCTCCCACCAGAGTTCCCACCATCTCTCTCATATCCCTTCAAAGAGTCACTACTTTTCTAATGATGATTCCCCCTTGTTTTATTTTTTGAAGCCTACTCCCCACCTCCTGCAGTCCTCTTCTACTGTTAGCCTCACATTTTGCCACCCTTTTCCTCTGTGGTTTCTTCTTATTTTTTTTATTTCCCACTAGGATTGCACTTGTACTCCTCTATCTTCTCAAAGTAGGAAAACACCATTCTTCCTTAGTGTGGTTTCTAGTATTTCCTGCTCCTTCCAATGCGAGCCTCATTTCTTGTCTCCTCTCATTAAACCACCCATTTTATAAACCTGGGATCTCCTTTTGTACCCTGTCCTGTCATATGAGGGAGGATTCCATACCCTCCTCATCTTTAAAATGGCTCCCACAGTATATCTTATGCTTCCAAACTCAGAATTCCACAATATCTCTACCCAAACTCCAAGGCCCTATCCTGTATTTTCCCCAGTTGTATCACTCCCCATCTTCCTATCCTTATTGCTATTCTTTATAGTGATCTTATCAACTCATAATTGAGTTTTCATATTATATCCTGTCTTCTCACAGCCAAGCCTCTGCTTTTCTCACAGTGATATCTCCCCTTGTCCTTATCCTCTCACACTGAAGAATCCCCATCTCTTCTCAAAGGAGATTTCACCAATAGTTATTGTCACTTCAGTACTAGAATTCCACTTCTAGCACCCTTCAGCTTGTATCCTACAACATTTTGTATTCATTTAGTGTGATGTCCCAGTATATTTCCAGTCCCCTCACATTAGGATTTATAGTTGTCCTTTTGGACATCTCCTACTTACAAATCTTTCCAAGACTCCTTTATTTCTTCAGACCAGATTCTTCTCATCTTAAAAACTATGGCTGGGGTCTCCTTTTTCCAATCCTGGAACCTGATTCCAGTTATTACTTCTTTCTATTACATATTTGACAAAGCAGTATTCTACTTCAGGAAGAGTAGGATTAACTAAGAGGCAGGAAATCTTGTTTCCCAATGTAGAACTTGCTTCTAAACAATCCTATGCATTAGAGTTTGATTTTTCCTCATCTCCTTCTTAGACTAATTATGGAAAAATGCAGAAAGGGTTATTTAAAAAATTCAATTAGTTGCCTTCATATATACAGATTTGGGTTGTTTTTCTTTTTTATCTCAATCTGGTACTAAAGTGCACTAAGCGGGCTGTACAGTTCTATTCTCAGATCTTACCACTTTGCTTTTTCGAATGATTGACTGAAGGGTTAAAAGTTCAGCTCCACTACTATGGTATAGACTTTGCTCCTAGGGTCAATGCCATATGGTAAGCACTATTAAACATATTTTGTGGTTTTCCAGTACTGACCTACATGAGCTTTGCCAGGCAATAATTTCAAAAACTAGTAATGATAATGGCTAACACTTACATAGTGCTTAATCTGTGCCAGATAATTTTCTAAGTACTGTAGATATATTAAATTTCTCTATATTCCCTCATTTAATAATCACAAGAACCATCCAAGCAGGTACCATTACTGTTCCCATTGTACAGATGTGCAGACTGAGGAACAGGTGGCAAACTGAGGTAAAGAACAAGTTAGAATCAGTGCAAGTAATCAGCTTCCTACAAGTTCGTATTCAGTTATATAATATTAAAAGCTAAAAGGAAGTTTAGAGCTTACTTTTATTTATTTTTAAATATGTATTTATAACATTTGTAGAGCACTTACATGCCAGGCATTCTTTTAACTGAGTGTGCGCACACACACACACACACATCTTCTTTATCCATTCATCTATTAATGGACACTTAGGTTGCTACCAAATCTTGGCTATTGTAAATAATGCAGGAATAAACATAGGGGTGCATGTATCTTTTCAAAATACTGTTTTTGTTTTCTTCAGATAAATCCCAGAAATGGAATTGCTGGATCGTATGTTCTCTTTTTAGGTTTTTGAGGAACCACCATACTGTTTTCCATATTGGCTACAGCATTTTGCATTCCCATCGGTAGTGCAACAGGGGTTCGTTCCCTTTTCTCAACATCCTCACCAATACTTGTTTCTTGCCTTTTGATAATTACCATTTTAACAGATGTGAGGTGATATCTCATTGTAGTTTTGATTTGCATTTCCCTGTTGATTAATGATGTGGAGTACCTCTTCATGTGCCTGTTCGCCTTCTGTATCCCTTCTTTGGAGAAATATCTATTCAGGTCCTCTGCCCATTTTTGAATTGGATTGTTCGAGTCTTTGATATTGGGTTGTGTGAGTTCTTTATATATTTTGGATATTAATCCCTTATTGGTCATATCATTTGCAAATATTTTCTTCCATTCAGCGGTTGCCTTTTCATTTTGTTGATGATTTCCTTCTCTGTGCAAAAGCTTTTTAGTTTGATGTAGTCCCCCTTGTTTATTTTTGCTTTTGTTGTCCTTGACTGAGGTGACAGATACAAAAAAGACATTACTCAGACTGATATCCAAGAGCTTATTGCCCATGTTTTCTTCTAGGAGCCTGTGGTTTCCAGTCTTACATTTAAGTATTTACTCCATTTTGAGTTTATTTTTATATATGGTGTAAGAAAGCGGTCCAGTTTCACTTTTTACATATAGTTTTTGAGTTTTGCCAATATCATAACCATTTTAAAGTGAAAAAGTCTAGGCACAGACCTATTAGGAATTTTGCCTAAAGTCACAGAGCTAGTAAATGGCCAAGTTTGGATGACAACCCAGGCAGTATTCCCCCATAGTCCATGCTTTAACTACCACAGGGTCTTAACTCTCTGCCTCCTCTCATCTAATACAGAGGTCAAAACTTGTGACTCACAGGTGAAATGCAGCCTGCAGATGTATTTTATTTGGCCAGCACAGTGCTTTCTTAACATTTTGTGTATCAATTATCATTATTTAAAAAATGAGAATAAGGTAGCTTTGATTTTCAATTCTGGTTCCACCAGTCCATCCTGTCATCTGCATTTAATAATCTAACAAATGAGTGATCTGGATTCAGAAAGGTTAAATCAAATTTTCCTAAAGTCACACATTTAGTATATAATGGACACTTGGGTGTCAGGACTGCCTGATACCAAAGCAACACAACCAAATGAACAGATTTGAGTTTCAATATCACTCAAAAAGTAATATTAACGACCTAATTTCTTCCTAGAAATAGAACCTGGTGCCTTTCTCCCTAATATCAGGCTAGAGCTTAAGGCAAAAGCAATATTTTTGTCTCACAATTCTTAGAGCTTGAATTCTGCCACTTCCTAACTAGCAGACCTGGCGCAAGTTACCTAAATCTCTCTCAAACTCAGTTGCTTCACATACATCTTCTACAGTTGTTCATACCACGAATACTTGGTTAACACCTACTACATGCCATTATAGCATTGTTGTGGGATTTAAATAATATAGTGCATGAAAAAAACCATGCATCATAGTTGAGAGCACATTGTAAGAGTTCATTAAATAACAACATTTTATTACTAATATTAATGAGAGAAGTAACAGTATCGATTTTTTAGGTAAAATTCACATAACATAAATTTAATCACTTTGAGGTTTTGATTACGTGACATTTAGCACATTCACAGTGTTCTAATACCATTACTAATATCTAGTTCCAAAACATTTTCATCATCCCAATAGGAAAACTTATAGTCTTAAATAGTAACTCCCCATTCCCTCCTCTCCCTAGGCCTTACCAATCACTAATCCTTGTTCTGTCTTTATGGATTTACTATTCTGGATGTTTCACATAAAATAATACAATATGCATCCTTTTATATCTTGTTTCTTCCGATTTTCATAATGTTTCTGAGGTCCTTCCACATTGTAGTATGTGACAGTACTTCATTCCTTTTAATGGCTGAATAATAATCCCATTGAATGTATATACCAGACTATCCATTTATCCACTGATGGCCATTTGGATTGTTTCCACCTTTTGTCCTTTCTGAATAGTGCTGCAGAAACAATCATGTATAAATATTTGCTTGACTATTTGTTTTCAATTCTTTTGAGAAAATACCAAGGAGAGAGGTGGGAATTCCGGAGCTGTATGTTAATTCCATGTTTAACTTTTTGAGAAAC